TCGCGCCTTCTCAAAAATCGGACCCCAAACCACCCAAGAACGGAACAACGGGACTATTTTTTGAAAAAATGATCGCTGGAAAATTTTCAGGTGCTTGTTCGAAAGCTCTAATCTTCTAGTTTCTAATTAGCCTTAGACATTTGCAAAAAGTTGATTATGAAGAAAGTTATGAATGTTTGAATGTCAAAAACTCGCGTGTGCACAGAAAACGGAACAACGGGACGATTTTTTGAAATATTGAACATCCACAACATTTCAAATACTCCTCAGGAAGAAAACTATTTATATTTTTCAAAATTTTGGTGTCCGATTTCATGAAACAGCTTCTGAAAGAAAATATAACCTTCTGAATGGAGGGGTTTGGATTGCAATGTAATTGCTACAAGGTTTAGTTTTTCAGATTATAAGGTAAGGAAAGTTGAGAGATCGAAAAAATCCTGGTGGGTTTCTGAAAGTAGAAATCTTTACGATTAAAATGATGTATTGGTTTACGCAAAAATTTGAAAATTCCTTCTATTTAATGAATAAAACTTCATTTGCCTCGATTTCCTCCTCTGAGCGAGACAGAGCGCGCGGATTGACCACGGTCCACCACTTCTCCATGTTGGTGACTGCCATCATTGATGAGCATTGATGAGCATTAAATTATGTGAAAGACATGATAGTTAATATGGGGGGTCGTACCGATACCCCCCGAAAAGGAAGGGGGTCGTAAAAATTTGGGAATTTGCGCAACGCAGGGTTGACCCTGTTTTGGAACATCCTTCGCGAAGTTAACATGTTGTGAAGTGAGCCTAAAATTCGACCTTATTCATGGTAAAAGGGAAACCTGAAGTCGCGATAAATTAAGAGCGGAAAAAACTTACAAAAGATATGTCCATCACCTTATATGAAACAGTGCGGTTTAGTGGAAAAAATTTTACTTCGTAGGACAGCCGTGACAAGACGGTCGACCAGAGAAACCGAAATCGAAAAGCACACGGCAAGGCTCTTTGAATGTACATAAAATCGGAGCCTTCACAAAGTCAAGTTCTGAAAGTGTGGAGAATAGGACGTAAGCAAACCAGCCCTTTTGGCGCTTCGGCTGGGACCGTATGCTGAATGTTGGGGAGGGGATGGAGTCCCCGACGGTGGACGGACCACTTCAACTCGGTCCTTAGAACCGCCACAATTTGGTGCTTACCTCAGAACTAAGCCTTAAAGAGAGGACGGGTCCGTCCCCTCTCCAAGGCTTAGTCCTGGGGTGAGCAAACCAGCCCTTCTGGCGGAGCTGCTGGACCAGCTGCACCACTTGCGTCAGTACTCTCCTATCGTACCAACCGAGTTGAAGTAAACCGTCGACCGTTGGGGACCCCATCCCCTCCCCAACATTCAGCATACGGTCCCAGCCGAAACGCCAAAAGGGCTGGTTTGCTTACCTCTGCCGTATAATCCTATGCTATACGAAACAGGATATGAAGGTAATAGGCCCGCCAAAGAGAAGCTGCTACCTACGCCGCACGCCTAAAATCACATATTGGCTGCTGAGGCAAGTTGCAAGGCTTGCTGCTCATCAAAAGGTGTACGTGTATTGACGAGCATACTCTGCGCAGTACTGAGAATTGGTAAGCCTTTTGAAGGAAATAAAGAAAGAAGAGATGCTGCCATAATATGCGTCTTTCATGAGATGTTTCTTGCTCCGTTCGTAAGTAGGACTCATTGTAAATGTTTTTTCTTTGGCTTTTGCTATTTGTTTAAGACGTTCAAGACGACGATGTGTGCTCTATTTGTTCAAGAGGGAGGGGTTAGGGGTGGGAGTTCTATATCAGAATTTTTCTCGGCGCATCGTTTGACCCTGATGGAGACTCACCAATAAAAGGATATGAATGATACGAAAATTAGGTGGAATTCTTGAGAAGTAGCTCCATTCTATCGCAACTAACAACACTTGTGTTTAATTGAATTATAACAACAGATGTTGCCCCCTATCGATCTCTGTCCTCTTCAAGAACAGAATCTCCTTAAACTTATGCTGTTCTCTTGGTTTTTTTTTGCATTATGTGCAACCAGCAAAAGTTGCGCATTTGTCGACCCTAGTCAGCAAAAATCTGTACTTGTTTTGTTCTGCAGTTGTTCAGTCGTTATGTAATACATGTTCAACATGGAACAATGAACAATTTATCCTGTTAGCTTTCGCGATAATCATTTCCTGCACACCAAATATTCCCAATCTTCATAGCTACATTCTCGAGTGTGCCAACTAAGCGTGTAGGCTTCTTTTCCAGTTGCATGAATCTGCAACACTATCATTAATGAACGATGAAAAGCAAGTGTTTGCATTTTCTCTTGTGGTCTGAACACGAGCTTCAAATGCAAACTGTAAGCTACAAGTAGAATTACATATTAACGTGGAAGTATCTCAAACTTGAGTTTTCGATTTGGACTGAGAGGAATGTAAGGGTGAGACGTGAGATGAAATGGTTGGACTTCAATAAGCGCGGTTTTAGCAGAGATCTTAATCTGGATCACGATGAAAATCGTGCCGAGTTGGCCGCGTCTTTACGCCCCCCCCCTCCTCTCATGGCGTTGCCAATACTTCCTTCCTATTCTCCCCAGTACTTCCCTTTTCCTGTTCTCCGCATGCGATTTATGCGATTTAGCAAAAATGTAACTTTGCATGCAGGCATGCAGCGCCGCTGCCACGCTGATGCCCCACGGCTCAAATTCTAAACGTAATTTCGTACAGACTGGTGAAATTAAGAGACTTATGTAATACTGCACAATAGAAATTGTTGAAAGAACAACATGAAAAAATATCTTGCTCAGGAATGCTGTGTGCTGGGCAGTGCGCGCAGCAGTCGGACTCTCAACACGAAAATGATCGGGTCATATTCCGAAAACAAACGAACCTGTGATATACGAGTAGCAAAATAAGAACAAGGAATAGACTCAGGTGAAACTCGTCGCAGCCTGCTCCGAGGTGGTGTCCCCCAAAAAGGGGCCGCGCGGCGACGGCAGAGGAAAGGCACAGACGGGGCAAAGGACGAGTCGCAGCCCATACTGTAGCGGTTAGGCGTCAATTTCAGGAGAAGGCATTGCAGTACGTACAACACCATTCACTCCACGTGGTGGGCTCGAAATTTGATATTTGCAATATCTTTTTTTCCTCGCACTACTACTGCTTCCCTTCACATTCAGTTGCTCACTACGAAGCGGTTGAAGCGACTAAAATACAAACGTGCACGGCAAACGATAGGCCTTATGGTGAGGAGGATTGAAGAGACATAACAAAGACGAACAATGTGGGTGCAATTGGATGTGGAAGAAAGTAATAGCGCAAAAAAAAATTGGCGTGTATAAGCAGATATCGAATGTTGAGCCCACGCATGCGACCTATCGAAATAGACGCCTACCCGCTACAGTATGCGCTGCGACTCGTCCTTTACTTCATCTATGTCCCTTGCTTCACCGTGCGACGAGCCTCTTGGGGGACACGCGCTCCGAGGCTTAGTCTTCAATGGCGCGTATTTCGAAACTGCCACGTGATGAAGAAAGAACAACTGCCCTTGTGACAAATTAGCAAGTCCTGGAGGATCAGACGAACAGCGCGCCGCGCCGTCGGATGCCCCCTGACCCCTAATCCAAACTACCTTTTCACATAAACTCCATAAGAACGGCTTCTATTAGGAAAGAACGAGGGGCAGAAAAGCCCTTTAGAGCGCTTTAGTTGGAAAAATCGCCGAAGAGGACCACCTTTTCGGTGAAAAACACATTTCCGCATTGACAAGTGTTTAGAAAAAAAAGCGGATTCCGAACGATTTCCAATTTCTAAAATGCACCGAGATTTTTTACAAATATGCCTCACTTCAAGAGTTGGAGACGTCGAGGATTTGTCGAGGAACTCAGAATTTAGACTTAGACTGGAAGGCTGCTACTCCCTGCGTCAGCATTCTGACCGGAGAAAAACGCTGTAAATTGGAGGGTTCACGCTTCTTGTACGACACTGCAGCTGTTTTGCACATTTCTAGTTCGCGAGATCTGCATAGTGGCGTCGAGGAAGTTTCCGAGCTACTCAAAAACTCTGTTCCTTTCTCGCGGAAAAAAGTAACTTCCAAAAACTCTCAATTTGGTTCTAGACTGAATCATCTCAATGGGTAAAAGAGGAAATGATTTCCTTGGCGCAGATCCGTTCCGTCTTGGTATGCGCCACGCAGCGACTCTCTCATGCGATTTATTAGCAAAAATGTAAAAGTTATTTGAAAGGTGTACTAGCTAAATGACAACTTGCTTGTGCAAGCAAAAAGGTACTTCCAGTTCTGATGAATGAAAAGAACTTTTTTTGGTTATAGTATAGACTGCTCATTGCTTCTCGAGTCACTTCTCTTTTGACCCTGTTCCGAAGGATGACGCATGTGCTTCTGCAGTACGTAATGATTCATAAAGGCGGCGAATTGAAAGTTCCACTGTTCTGCCCCTCCAGTAGGTTCTCAAAGCGCTCACATTAATTTAAAATAGATTTTGCAGAACATTCTCAACGATTCTTTTGCAGGACGCCTTTCCTCCCTATGGCATCGGACTGATCACTACGAGCCAAGCCAACAACCCCTCTTCATTTAAATTCTCATTCCATATGGTCGCAGAATATCTTTTGTTTTACACTAACTGAAACACGTGAAGTTGGTGACGACAGTGAATCAGTGACAGCAGCATTGTCATGTCCCTGGGTGAAACCTTGCCCCACGGTCTCCTCATCTTCCATTGGAGTGAATACAACCCTCCCCCTTCGAAGACTGACTCAACTGCTGATCACCCTGGTGTGGAGTGCGCTCCTTTTGTTTGCAGTGGATATCCTGCATTCGCCATAATTACAGGGTGCGGCAAAAGATCTGGCAAAATCCCGTTTCAGGTCCTCCATAAGAAATGAGGCCTTCGATCTCGACAGGATCTGTGCCACTATTTACTGCAAGTCTTCTTCTATACATTCCATGAATTGGCCGTTCTTAAATATGCCATTTTACAGAATGGTGACAAGCAAAGACCAACGAGCCTCCATCCTGCACCTCCATCTGGCTGGATGCACTGCAAAGACCATCTCCAAGCAGCTCCAGATTCCCTTAAGAACCGTGTACAACAACGTCAACAGGTACAAGGCGACAGGAACTATGGAGGACAAGCCTAGAAGTGGAAGACCGAAGAGTGCAACGACAAAGGAGATCGTGAAAATCATTCGAGAGAAAATCCGCCGCCACCCTCGTAGGTCCGAGAGAAAAATGGCTCTTGAGGTGGGTATTTCTGCTCGATCTGTTGGAAGGATTGTCACCAGCCACCTTCGACTTCGCTCTTATAAGATCAGAAAAGCTCACATGCTAACTGAGCGTATATGAAGAAAACTAGGCTCGAAAGATGTAAGGAGCTTTTAAAGCGATTTTCGCAGGCACGGCACAGCAACATCCTTTTCACTGACGAATGTCTGTTTTCAACAGATCAATTCCTGAACACCCAAAACGATAGGATGATAGCGGGAAGCCCTGCAGAAGCCAGCCAACATGGAGGGATTGCTCAGCGATCTGGACACCCCAAGTCGTTGATGGTTTTTGGGGCAATCACATCGGACGGCAAGATGCCCCTGATTTTCTTGGAGAAAGGGGTCAAGGTGGATAGCAAGACCTACTTAAAAGGCGTGTTGGAGAAGGAGGTACTCCCCTGGGCAAAATCCCATTTCGGCAACCGGACATGGACTTATCAACAGGACTCAGCTCCAGCACACAGGTCCAAGGTGGTACAGGACTGGTGCGCAACGCACTTCCCAGACTTCATCTCGTCGAACGATTGGCCCCCAAACAGTCCAGACCTAAATCCATTGGACTACTCCGTGTGGTCAGTTCTTAAGACGAAAGCCTGCTCTACTCAGCATAGAAGTTTGGATGCTCTACGTGCAACCCTCGTCAAAGCATGGGAGGATTTGGACGAGGACTACCTCCGTGCCGCCGTCGACGCGTTTCCTAGGAGACTTTCAGCCTGTATTCGAGCAAAAGGAGGCTATTTCGAGATCTAGTTTGTTTTTGTGATCTATATAGCTGTTGATAAATGCTGTTGAAGTTGTATCATGTATCGATCGATTCGACCGTTTTTTACGGGCATATTTACCGTTGCCAGAACTTTTGCCGCACCCTGTAAAAGCTTACATTCAAGTGACTGGGAAGTACATGGGAGGCGATTCGGGGCCGCCTCCAAAAAATAAGCCCCTTGTTCCGCTCCAGGATAGCGTGGCTAACTACCTGGAGGTCTATCCTAGCCCACACGACAGAGCCTGGCAAGCTACTCGTGTGCCTTCAATATGCCGAAAACAGCAATATGGATGGGCCTCATTCCCCTGAACCTGAGGGAGCCCCCAATACGGCAGCGTTGGGTAGGACCGCTCGGGAGAGGCTGCTAGAATCTCAGGGCCCGGATAGGCTGCCTAAACGAAGAAGGACTAAGATGGCGATCTGTACTTTCAACGCACGAACGCTTGCATCCGAAGCTCACATCGAAGATCTGATGATGCAGGCCAGGAAGATCAAGTACGACGTCATCGGACTGACCGAGACGAGAAGGCACCGCCCGCTACACGCCGTTTTCGATACTGGAGAAGAACTGTTCCTTGGAACATGCGACAGCAGAGGCCTTGTCATTGTGGGGGTCCTCGTCAACACGACCCGAATAGAAAGTTTGAGAATGAAAAGATATGAAGCATCCTGCTTTGACCATCTTCGCCGCCTACGCACATACTCTGTTTACGACGAAAAAACACGAAGTTGTGTTCTAGTAAAGAACCGCACGCAACCGCGCGCATCACATGGTAAACTTCAGTGAAACTGACAACCCGCTAAATATAGCGGTCCTATAATTATTTTAGCATCGATGTGATAATGATATGCAACCAATAACCAAGCGCTCACCAGGGGAGGCGTTGAACTTCCTGTAAAACTTCGGAGTGAGAATAGGTACATCGATGGAGCACTGATGAATGATTACAAATATGGAAGCTAAAACTGCAAAATGAACCTGCCAAGCAAGTTGTGACTTTTAAAGTTGGCTGCGTATGAGTATTGATGTATGAGGATATCTTGTAGCTATGCCGTGTTGGCGTGAAGCAGTGGGTAGGCTCTCGCTCATCATTCGCTAGGTCATGAGTTCGATTCTCGTCGAGGTCGGGTTTGCTGCAAATTACGCTGCGTTTAGTTTTTGACATATACTCGAATCAGGGCATTGTCAGAACAAGTGCGAGATCGAGTGGGCAGATAGAGTTGTAGCCATGGTACTGGTAACATCCGTATTGATCATGCCGTCTTCCTCTTCGAAGCTAGCACCATCTTCAATCTGTACGCAACAAGTGTAATAGTAGCTGACTGCTCATGCATAAATGTCAAAAGATGGAAAAAAGTTCTTACTGGGTACCAAACATCATTTGCAAAACGTCAGACTTCGAGGGGAACGAACCCAAGACCTAGCGCACAATGAGCAAGAGCTTTATCATCGCTCCACGGCAACGCGTCATGGGCAGCTACGAGGCATTTTCATCCATCAATACTCATATGCAGCCAAATTTAATAGGTCACAACTTTCTTGGCAGGACCCATTTTGCAGTTTCTAGCTTCCATATTTGTAATCATTCTTCAGTTCTCTATCAACGTACCCAATCTCGTTTCAAAGTTCCATGGGAACTTATATGCCTTCCCTGGCTAGTGGATAACTCTGATTTGAAATTCGCTATAGGCCAGGTCCAGATAGGTTAGCTGCTCAACAACTTCCGTTTCTCTTTCTGAAAGGACTAGGAAATGGAACATATTCACTTGCTAGGGCACCTGGTTTAGTTTGACTGAGTGCACGCTCAATTGTCGCTACTTTTATCAGTACAGTTGCCGCTCATACCACTTTCTGTCACCCACCATCAACACCTCGCCACCTTGATCGTTTGCCAGTGATGATTAAAGAAATCGTAGACATTTGCATTCAGACGCAAATAACTGATCCTTATCATCTGTTATCAGTTCATACCACTCACCATTAGTGTTCTCGTCCGATCCCCTATACCACATGTTAGAGCCTAAGGTTCTACTGTCACCGCAAAGACTGTGACGAAAATGGCGGCATCCACACTCCGACGCTCCTTATCAGTTCTTATCAGTTGCTACCACGTTACTTTACCCAGGGTCAGGGAAAATGGGGACGATGGACAGATTCTTCGCACCTTCATTAAGCGTGCCTCCAACTGAGGTGCGAAGCAATACTAATTACTGTGCCAAGGCATAGAGGTCACGATGCTTACGCATACGTCGTGTAAGTCGATGAAAGAGAAATCCAACTGAAAACTATTACAGAAATTTTATAAATTGACCAGAATCAACCGAACAAATGAACCAAAAATATTATACATATTTCAAAGTCAGACTCCATTCCTGTGCAGGAAATGGAATTTAGAAAAAGCCATTTGCCATACTTAAATACTAGTAAATAAAAAATACCATACTGAAATATAATAGAATGTTTGATTCAGATGCAAGAACGAAACAATGGGTGGTTTGAAAGATCTGCTGGTAAGAAAGAAGAGTTTGAATCAGAATTTCATGCTCTCATAGAAGAACTGCAAGATAAATAAATGATCAGTGTTCTATTTGCCTATCAAAAAAATGGTCGTTCTAGCCATCGGCGGTACATTTATAGGTCACGACCTCTCACAATTACCCCAATCAGTATGAAACTACAGTATCCCTGGGCAAATTTCACTCTAATGAGAGTTCACCAACAGGTACTTTGCTGGCAGGAGAGCAATTTGTGTGCAACTATTTGCTCTACTGGACACTTGTTGTGCTATTATGTTCTCACATTTAGCCGCTTCAGCTTCTCCTGATGGGTTCAATCCTTCAAATACTACCTAGCTCATCAGCCGCCGTATTACTCTGATCAAGTCCCTACTCAGCCTTGTCGTTCTCCCCATAACCTGTATTCTGGAAGCCAAAAGTGAGATTTGCCACTGCCTCCATTCGATGTTTTTGCTTTAGAATCCAACCCGGGCATCGCGAAGGGATCCTCCGAAAGAAAGTTAAGTATGGTAGGAAATGGCGAGATATAGCATTCTCGAACAGTGATTCCAATGATCCCTGTTTATACTTTGTTCTACAGAATTAACGAAATTCATCACCCGGGACGAAATAGAGTCTTACTGCTGGAGATTGTCAAGATATATTATCAACAAAACTACACATTATTTTTGTGCTTATATGTTTATTCCTTATGCTATATGCTGACAGTCATTTATTAGTACTAATTAATAATTTCCGTAATAATTGCTTCCCACTGAATATCTTGTATGTACATATCGTGGATTTCCACTGATAGTGCTTTTCCAATATGGCTTATGTCGACTTACACGACGTATGCGTAAGCATCGTGACCTCTATGCCTTGGCTCGTAATTAGTATTGCTTCGCACCTTAGTTGGAGGCACGCTTAATAAGGTGCGAAGAATCTGTCCATTGTCCCTATTTTCCCCCTCCACTTCACCCACTTTCTTGGTCCTCGCCTCACCCCCCCCCATAATATACATGAGTGCAAACATGCCACTGCCAATGCGAAGAGCGCAAAGAAATTGGTGTCTTCGGTATTGCGCACGTTATCAGCTATCACTTATATCGCCCTGTGTTCGGGTCCCCGTCAAACAACACATAACTGTGCGCAATATCATGTGAACGGTGTAACGAAATTGATGACCTGGCTCTTATCAGTAGTTATCAATTCCGATCACCTGCATCAATGTTCGTGTTCAGCCACTATATACCTTCAAAGTTTGAGCGCTCTGGGTCCAAAGGGAGTGAAGTTATGAATTTCCGGTCAGACAGACACACACACGCACAACCGCTTCAGCCGATTATACATAGTAGATAGAATTGGAGGCGGAATGCGGGGAAGATCATAAATTCTTCAAGGTCATCGTCGGCGACTTCAACGCTAAGATTGGCCCAAGAAGAACGGCTGAAGAACTTCACATCGGTACTCACGGAATGGAATGGAATGAGGAAGGCGAGAGGCTGTCAGTGTTCATTATGTCCAGCAGGTGCCTCCCAGTTCCAAAAGCCCTCACATTCATTGCACTTAGGAGGCACCTGACGTACAGTTCCATAACGAGATAGACAACATCATCTTCAATCGAAAGTTTTGCCTGACCAACGTCGCTGTTGTTCCAAAATTCTACACGCGTTCGTCTTTTCCGCGGAAGATCTCACGTTTTGATACGTGCTGAGAGAGCACCAAAGTTAAGGAAGATCTAAGACGGTCATCAACTGGAACCAGAGTCATTCACAGAGCGTCTGTCTGCGGAAACTCTCGAAGCTGATACGCCAGCGTGGAGCCGCACGAGCTGCAGGCAATCACCGACTCACGTCCGAGCTTGCGAAGCTATGCAGAGAGGCGATAAAGGAAGATCTCAAGGAGCGAAGAGCAGCAGTACTGCTGGAGCAGCAGAGGCTAAGATGACCTGCCCCAATAAACGAATGGAACACACTGCATAGTGGAGAAAGCTATCCACGACTAGCTTTTGAATCTTTTTGATAGCCATGTGCTTCCTTCAGTTATCCCGTCCAAATTCCGTCAATCCGTGAGCACGGTAAAGAAATGCACAGCACCCGGTCTCGACAGGGTTAAACCGGAACATCTGAAGAATGCACCGCCAGTTATCATCAAAACTCTGGCTCGACTCTTCACGCGCTACCTGTCGGAATGCAAGGTACCCACTCCGTGGAAAACCAGCAGGACCGTGTTGCTGTACAAGAAGGGAGACTGGACGATATCGCCCAATCTGCCTGCTGTCTGTAATCTACAAGCTATTCACTCGAGTCATCCTTAGCAGATGTGCAGAATAATGAAGTACTGCCATGGATTTCAAAGAGGAGTTCAGCACGATCGACCATATCCACACGGTTACGAGACTCATTGAAGTAGTATTGATGCCGCTTTGTCTCACGTTCATCGACTTGAAGGCCGTTCGACTCTGTGGAGACAGAAGCGGTCATCGAAGCCTAGGGCGATCAGGGCGCTTCTACTATTGGGTTGTCCAGAAAATCCTGCGACACTTTGTCCAAGATTTTTGACTGTACCTTTTTTTGTTGAATGGGATATTCAATCAGCACGGTTATCACCGGTAGCACGTAGGAGACGTGTACTTTTTCTGGGCAACTTCTCAACTCTCTTACTTTAGAAATCCGGCGTTTGCTTCGAAAAGAAGCGCTTCATCCAATTTTCGAGGTGACCTCAATCATTGGATTTTTTCTCTTCGAGGTAGCGCTTCAGTGTACTAATTAGAAAATATAATATTTTATAATTATAATATTTAGAAACGACTAAGTCAGGCGAGTAAGCCAAGCACTGCAGAATTTCCCGATCAAAATCCACGATCTCCTCATGTGTAATCCTTCGCCACATACAGATACGGGTTAGGGTGGGGTAACACCGTATCGAGAATTTCTGCGTGATTTGACGCATGGCTTCGGCCAAATTTCGAAGGTTGTTGAAGCCGACAATGGTCGTTACCCTGGTGCAGGTATCCAGCAGCTTTCTGTAGCGAATCAGTTTGCAACCTCATCAGAAACACTAAAAAGTCCTTCTTGACGAAGGCCTGCTTTTGTTCCTGCGGGCAGCTTTCCTCCTTGTCGAATCCAGTAGTGCTTATGTGTATAGTTTAGTCAAGGCCAGAGCTATCTTCATTAGCCATCATTTTTGTCAAGAGATTCCTTTGATGCGAAAGAAGAAGAGAAATCTGAATCATGGTCACACGGTTCGCCTCCCCAGACTGGCGCAACCCATGTGGTGTCAATGGCGAACATACTGATCTGTAACCGAGATCGTGCAGATCCTCGACAATTGTCGAATGAATGCACATAAGCGTTGTTGTTAACCTACTACTGGTACCAACCGGCTGCGCCTCTTGGAAGTTGAGTAAACGCTTGTCAGTCATCGTCTACTGCCGTCCAGCTCCGTGCCCCATTTCGAACAAAATATCTCCAGTTGCGAGGGAACAGGACAACCGGGACACCATGGCCTAGTGAAGTGACATCCCTCCTGACTACAGCACAGATGCTAGCTGCAAGGACCTCGAAAAATCCCTACTATATATAAAGCGCTAAGTCTGTCTGTCTGTCTGTGTGTGTGTGTGTGTGTCACGAAATTCATAGCACGCGTCGCAGCAGTCGTTAGGAGCTGATTTTTTGATATGATATAGGGGTGGGACGGGAACATATTTGGTGGGGGTCACAAAGTGATAACGACTGATAAGAGCAGATAAGAGGCGCTGAAACACAAATTTCACGAAATTCATAGTGCGCTTCGCAGCAGTCGTCAGGAGCTGATTTTGGGGCATGATATAGGGGGTGGGACGGGAACATATTTGGTGGGGGTCACAAAGTGATAACGACTGATAAGAGCAGATAAGAGGCGCTGAAACACAAATTTCACGAAATTCATAGTGCGCTTCGCAGCAGTCGTCAGGAGCTGATTTTGGGACATGATATAGGGGGTGGGACGGGAACATATTTGGTGGGGGTCAAAAAGTGATAACGACTGATGAGGACTGATAGTAACGATATGCGTACGAACGTAGAGAGCACTTGAAATAGAAAATAGAGAGCAGATTGTAGATAATGCCTTTCATTTCAATATCATTTCATCAGCGTTGTAATTGTAAACTCCTTTCGACCGCTACACCTTCTAGAGTTCTTGAGGATGAATGGGATGCTCGAATAAATATGATAATGAATACTAGGCATTCCGTTTTGAGATATTCGACCGCTAAATTACCTCGATACTCGACGCATAGTGGTTGTTTACATCATCACTTTAGCTGTGCACTTCACTGCGCTTATCAAACAGTGAGATACAGCCAAGAGCCTATGCAACGGACAGTAATACATTTAACGAAGCAGCTATAATTTAGCGGTGAAACCTAAAGCTTCATCGATTGTCAGTTCTATCAATGCGCGCGGTAGCGGGCGGAGCTAAACTGGTATAAAATAGGTCAAAAGATGTGTTGATTCAGAGACAAGTTTGAAACAGTTAAACGCCGCACGTAGCCTCCATTTACGCTTCTGCCGAAACCTCCGAAGATACACTGCAGCAATCAAATACCAAAACTACTGGAAAGAGTTTTGGTCTTTCCTAAAGAACTTTGTTCAAAGTGTCGCAGGATTTTCTGGACAAACCATAATTATTAGGTTGTCTCATAAATAGTGTCGCTTTTTTTCAACCAAAAAATTTTCATCTAAATCCCCATGCTTTTACACATATACCATTCGAAAGAGAATTGTCTGCTCTACAAGATGCTATGTTCCTCTTCCACCTATGTTCCAGGTTTTCAAATTTTAGGCCTGCGAAATGGGAGGTCCAGCCGACAAAAATTGACCAAACCGACAACTATCTCTAACTTTATCTTCCCTTGGGAGAAATCAATCAATGATGTACCCTCTACTTATGCATGACCTCTTCTAACATTACACTATTAGGTTTCCCAACAAGTCGCGTCGTTCCATTTCCAGACCTGGTTTTTCAACCAGAACTCGACGGTCGAGCACCATTACCTGAGATCGAGGTCGAAATTTTTTTATAGCCG